AGGAATGGTAAATAAATACAGGGAAATACATCCATATGTAAGTATTTTTGTAATTGAATCACAGAGTATGAATTGAAAAGTATTAAATTTTCCTTTCAATGTGAGTACAACCTAACAAATTTGGAAACATCGGAAACCATCGATATACCGATGTTTTTCTGGCGATGCATTTTAGCATCGATGTTCATTTGTTCGATGCATCGAAACATCGATGTTACTCCACAAAATTTGCATCCACACTTTGAATTCAAATTGGCAATGGTTGAAGCAAGNAATCGCTGTATTTTTTTAATTGCTAACTCAATACTCTTCTTCTGCATCACGGCAACTGTCAAAAATTTCCAGCAGTAAAAAGTTACGAATTGGCACAGCAGAAATGTAAAATTTTCTCACCATAGTAAAAAGTTTTTACACCATAGAACTTTTCTACTGATTGGCACAGGCCCTTTGAATTCAAATTGGCAATGGTTGAAGTCACTGGGAAGTGAATTGCAGAACCGGCCTAATGTAATGTTTTTATCATGCAACCTCCCATCCATTTGACCTCGAGTAAAACGAATTATTTTCTTTTAAAATTTATTTAAAGAAATAAAAATAGTTCTCAAAGTATAAAATATTTATGTATGAACGTACAAATCAAAGTAAGCGCAGAGGCCATTTACCAACAGCGAGTCGATCGTGACCTGTAATATATTGGAAAAACTTACCATACGTAAGCGATTCACTACATTTTGGCCATTTCGGTATCATCCACATCCGACATTCCAATTTATAGNTTTCTTTTAAAATTTATTTAAAGAAATAAAAATAGTTCTCAAAGTATAAAATATTTATGTATGAACGTACAAATCAAAGTAAGCGCAGAGGCCATTTACCAACAGCGAGTCGATCGTGACCTGCAATAAATTGGAAAAACTTACCATACGCAAGCGATTCACTACATTTTGGCCATTTCGGTATCATCCACATCCGACATTCCAATTTATAGTTTTTTTTTTCAGGCAGAAGCAACTGCGAATACGCACTCACAGCTCTGGGCAGCGATCTTGCAACAAAGATGTGTTAAATTACTTTGCTGGAAACATGTAAGTGATTAAGTATTTAAAAAGAAGATCGTCTTTTTAATAAACCTAAAAAGGTCTTGACAAGGCTTATCCTTTTCATCTAACTCACAATTGCAAAATAAGCATCCTCTCTACAAAATGGTAAGCTCGAACAAACTTAAATGTAACTGCCACAATGTTTCCTAAACCAATTTATTCGGTTTACTCATCTGCATCTCACATCTACTTTAAAGGTGTATTATTTAGTCATGGTGTAAAGTATGTATATGTGTATTTTTAAGTATATGGTAAGTTTACAATTATAAGATTGTATTCTTTAGTAAAAAAATTATTTCAGTGAGAACTTAATCGAAGTTTTTAGACATAGATTATCAAGTATCAGGTAATTTTTTAATGGATAAAATTAACTAATTTAATATTCAGAAACCAAATTCCAACATCCTGTCAATCATCGATATTTTTTGATCGCTATTCTTCACATAATCTATTTTTTAACTGGTTCATCCGTAAGTCAATATTCCTTCCACATTCTGACGTCAAACCTTACAGCATTGACAAATGTTTGACAATAAATACAATACAACTAAAACTTAGTCTAAGAACTTATCTGAATTATTATTAAAAAAAATCTAGAACAATATACCACTTGCTATAATGTGAAATGTGGAAAAATCTGGCTGCTCAATATGTGCTTGTTCCCAAGGATTTAGTTCAATAAATAAATCTTCTCAAAATCATTGCGGCGTTAGAGCGATACATTTTAGAAATTATGTATGCTCAAGCTGCTTTTGTTTTTCAAAATACTCCTTTGCTAGATTTATCCAGGAAAGTGATATTTGATTTTAGAGTTGCATTATTCCTCTTACGAGGTTTTAACTTTCTACGATATATGCATACTGATTCGAATTATGTTTTTATCAAATTTGTGTGAAGGTTGTTTTTAACNTTTAGAGTTGCATTATTCCTCTTACGAGGTTTTAACTTTCTACGATATATTCATACTGATTCGAATTATGTTTTTATCAAATTTGTGTGAAGGTTGTTTTTAACTTTTTTTTTATACATATTTAATACTCTTCTTTCTTGCAGTCCTCTTTTAAAATGTTCACCTTTAAAACTATGTACGATAGGTACTGATTTTCTGACGTGGTAAAATGCCTACACATGATTAAACTTCTTAGTATCTGTGGATAAGTATTTATATTGTAACTGCTGCTTATATTATCATCATCGTCACGTCCCTCTCTTCCTCTTGACCACCTGCGCTTCAAATAGTTCCTGGGTATCTCTGCACTTTCTGCTTTAAATTTTCTGACTTTTACTTTTTTGAACTGAAACTGTTAATTCTGCTGCTTTCGTGGCTGATTAAGTTTTATTATCTGTAACTTTTGGATTGCTTGCTTGAATCTGAGTACGAATGTGACCTGGCTCAATTTTACGACCTATAAATGTTTGTAAATAAGAAATCATTTATTGACTTTCAAAAGTAATTTTGAATCTTCTAAGTTCTATAAAATATCATTGTATTAGTGAAATAAAATATTTTTAATTATACCACTCATCCGCACTAGCCAATTAAGAAATTAAATTATAAATAGGGATAATNTTGTAAATAAGAAATCATTTATTGACTTTCAAAAGTAATTTTGAATCTTCAAAGTTCTATAAAATATCATTATATTAGTGAAATAAAATATTTTTAATTATACCACTCATCCGCACTAGCCAATTAAGAAATTAAATTATAAATAGGGATAATCTACATCTTTATCAAAGAAAATAATTTAATACAAATCTATCACAATTGAAATGTAATGTGACCGTTATGAGATTTCGGATGTCAAAAAAATACTAAGTTGCCGAAAATACAATGAACCTCTACAAATCATAAGAACTTAAAACCTATACATTAGGTCGGAACAAAAGTGTGTTAGTAAAATTGTTATGTAAAAAAATATATATCTAACAAATGTTCCGTTCATATTTTTTTTTCTTGNGTTAGTAAAATTGTTATGTAAAAAAATATATATCTAACAAATGTTCCGTTCATTTTTTTTCTTTTATAAACTCACCTCAATATCTTCTGTTGCCGCCACCACCACCAACGGCATTTGGACCACCAAAGTTACCCTGATTACCAAAGTTACCTTGATTACCTAAAATAGAATAGGAAGACAACAGGCATTTAGTGCTGTCTTAATCAATTTTGAGCTGCTTTCGATTCGCCACTTATGTTTTTCTTAAGGTTGTTGTTGTAACAGCATAAAAATTCCCCAGTTTTGGGGAGTGTTGCTGGTCCGTGCCCAGATATAAGACTAGATAGGTCCGGTTACGTAGACCCGACTGTCAATCAATATTCTATACCCAAGTCGCTAATAAGTTGGCGAATCGAAAATAGCATTTTGTTTTGACAACAATTGTATTCATTTTGTGGCAAATACATTTTTATCAACTTATGATACCCAAGGGACATAAGTAAACCAAGATNCGTAGACCTGACTGTCAATCAATATTCTATACCCAAGTCGCTAATAAGTTGGCGAATCGAAAATAGCATTTTGTTTGACAACAATTGTATTCATTTTGTGGCAAATACATTTTTATCAACTTATGATACCCAAGGGACATAAGTAAACCAAGACATTATATTTGCAATGTTTTTTCTTACAGCCTCGTAACGCCGTATGATACCATTAAATTGGTTTATACGGAGCTGGGACTGTGAATAAATCTTTTTTGAAAAACTTATGTGTACCTACCCATTTTGTTACCGAAGTTTCCTCCTTGATTGTAGGGTTGCAGGCGATTATTGCCGCCAAAATTGCCGCGTTGGGGACCACCACCGTAGCTTTGCTGATAGCCACCTCCGAAATCATTTCCCCAGTTGCCACTGTTAGCCGGTCCATTATTACCAGGGCCGCCGAAATTTCCAGGACCATTATTCCAGTTATCTCCGTTGTTGCCGTTATCCCATGGACCTACATTATTGTTGCCGTTCCAACCACCTCCGCCACCACCGCCGTTATTAAATCCTCCGCCAAAACCATTGTTTCCACCCCAGTTATCATTGCCCCTGTTGTTGCCACCCCAGTTGTTTTGATTTCCCATCATTCCACCACCCATATTACCCCCGCGACCCATGTTGCCCCCACGACCACCACCGCCGCCGCCACCGCCTTGTTGACGGTTCATGTCCTGTTTAGGCAAGGCCTTCTTTACGTCAAGTGCTTTTCCTTTAATAGTATGAGTTTTTTGCACTGAAAATGGTACGTAGAAGTTCATCAATTAAATTGTAAACAATTGTTTTCAGGTATTTAGATAAATAAATTTTAAATTTGTAACGAGGCTGCGTGTTACACAAAATTTGGATAATTACATTCGCATAACATAGCGTAAGCCGACGCTATGATTTATCTCACAGTTTTATTTTATCAACTAACCGACATTGAAAGTACAGCCAGTTGTCAGAGAACTGTGTTAAATGCTAAGTAATAAAACATTTAACACCCCTATTGCGAGTGGCGACTAGTAGTAGATAAACGACTACAAGTGAACAAAAGAAAAAACGATTCGTTTGGTTTGTGCTCGTATCGTGTATTGTTAGTGCTCGACAACATTATAATAAAAGGAACACAAACTTTTCGTACTTGTTGTGGCAATGGTAGTTCGTACTCGGTTTGTAGCCGCTCATCCTTCTACAATCGAATTAAGGATATTTTTAAATTACTTATTATTTTAAAAGGATTTTTTAAATTCGTTATCCTTTTATAAAGATTTATTTATTTTTTTTTAATTTTTAAGATCTTATTTTATTATTCTTTTATAAGGGCTTTTTTATATTCCTTTTNTCAACTAACCGACATTGAAAGTACAGCCAGTTGTCAGAGAACTGTGTTAAATGCTAAGTAATAAAACATTTAACACCCCTATTGCGAGTGGCGACTAGTAGTAGATAAACGACTACAAGTGAACAAAAGAAAAAACGATTCGTTTGGTTTGTGCTCGTATCGTGTATTGTTAGTGCTCGACAACATTATAATAAAAGGAACACAAACTTTTCGTACTTGTTGTGGCAATGGGTAGTGGATACGTTCCGTTTGTATTCGTACTCGGTTTGTAGCCGCTCATCCTTCTACAATCGAAAATCGAATAAGAGTCGTTTATCTACTACTAGTCGACACTCGCAATAGGGGTGTAAATCTAATTTTTTGAAATATACAGTTATAGAATCGTATAGAGCCGTAATTTAATAATTTCAGCAGATTTACAAACCTAACATTTCAAGATACCAAATTTTTATGTTTATTTGACTAATAACCAGTTTCCCAAAACCAGTTTCTTTATTTTATAAAAAAATATTTATATGTTTTTTTAACCGACTTCCAAAAAAAGGAGGTTATCAGTTCGTCGGAATATTTTTTTTACTTTTATTTTATTTTATTTTTTATGTATGTTACCGCATAACCGTCAAGCGATTTCGATAATTCTTTTTGCATCGGAAAGGTAGTGTCTCAGAGGTGGTCCCATACTAATCTGGTTAAGATCCGATCAGTGGAGCATGAGATATATATATATATTTTTTTTATGAGTTGATGTCGGTTTTTTTGCTAAAAATTACTTGTTATTTTTTATTTTATGAGAATCCAATTTCAAAGTGGAACAAAGATTTAATTTCTACAAAATTTTCTACTGCTTAAATACCTTTTTGAAAAGAAATATGTGGCTTTTATGACCTTGTACTCTTGCTGAGTGTACCCACATTAAGTGACTTGCTATTGCTTAATAATTTTTTCGACTTCTTTGTTGGCACATCTAACATGCCCAAAATATCAGCGAAATTCACCCCCGGTGAAGAGTCAAGGATTTTTACCCTTTTTTAAAGATATTTTTAAATTACTTATTATTTTAAAAGGATTTTTTAAATTCGTTATCCTTTTATAAAGATTTATTTTTTTTTTTTAATTTTTAAGATCTTATTTTATTATTCTTTTATAAGGACTTTTTTATATCCCTGGTAACACTGCAACGTTGTTGACGTGTTTGTAATCGCTCTGCGGAAA